AAATCCCCAATTGAACAAGGTTGGGTGAAAGTGGCAGCTCCTTCCCAGCAGCTGGCACCTCCCTCTCTCTCTGCTGCTGGGTGGTTGAGCCGCATTCTGCCCTCGCCAACCTATCCAGTTGGCTTGCACTGCAAATCAAATTGCCCCCCTGATTCCACTTCTTGTCTTACTCCCCCCCCCCACCCCGACCCCCACCCCACCCCCCGCAGTTGGATGTCTTTACGCGACAGTGGCCCCATTGTGAACGGTGGGAGCTGCTGCTGCATGTGATTTCACGCCATGGCTGAGATGACATCCAAGTTGTGAGGGCCAAGCCTGCCTTGTTGCCCTTCTTGTTGATTTTCGATTTGTAGGTGGCTCCTCCTATATTCACAATGCATTGGCAGGCGGCCCCGCCGCATGGACAATAGCATCGATGGTGGACCGCATGCTACGCGTAGCCGAGCAGTGGGAATGGTATGCACATGCTGCCCACATCCGCGACCTTAGGCTCTTGGGACGTAGCATTATGGACCAGGTGCGCACATGTCAACTGAAATGCAGTATTTTCTCCAGTCCATTAATGGTTTTCCTTGCTGTTTGCAGTTTGTGCTTTCTGATGTCGTTGCCGGCAACCGACTGCACCACCCATTTATCCATTTTACACTGCCCGCACCATTTCTCGCCAAAGACTTGCATGAAAGGCTTCAATACGACTCCCCGGGCGTACAATTGCAGTACCCGCCCGATTGGCACGCACTTACCGGGAGCGATGAGGGCCACACCGCAGGCTTCAACATGACAATCTCGGTGCATCCACTTTAAATGGCATTGATTGAATTTCTCTGTTACTGCATTTTTATGCCGGTTCAAGGTAACATAACAGTTCCTTGAAACGGCCCCCTGGCCACACCTCATCACCTGTTTGCAGTACCTCAATGGCACGTGGGATGAGGAAATTGGTGGCAGGCGCTTCCCTCCTCGTGGGAACTACTCCTTGGCATTCATCAAGGTGGGGACTGATACCAGAGTGCTGCACTTCTAGTCCGGTTGCGACAGGCCTATGTTGGGAATGTAGATGCTGGAGGAAGAAAGCGGGGTCAAGTTTGCAGATATTGAGGGCCCAACGCCCAGCGATTATGTTCCCCAGAATGAGACTTTCATCTTCACTCCAGGGTGAGTGATTGGAAGCAAGGTGCATGCAACTTGCATTAGTTGCCTTGCTTTTTGCACCTAATCCTGCATGTGGAACTCTTTCCACAATGCAGGTGGCTCTTGGCAGTAAGTTCCAAATGACCCTAGTGTAAATGTGACTATGGGTAACAACCACATTGGTGTGCAACCACTATGACGGTGTTGTGTGCAGGCCTGGCTGCACCGAGGAATTGGTGGTTGGTGGGACTTGAAGCCACCACTGCAAGTGATGGTGAGGGGAGGAATAACAATCACCTGGGGAGGAGATTGAATTTTGGAAAGAGCCTCGGTCTGTGCACATTGCCTGCAGGTGCATGCACTTTTTATCCCTGGTCATGGACACGCACCATGGAGAAAGGAGTACATTTTGAAGGCGAGCGGCGCATTCAACTTTGAGATTGCACAGGTGGATGCCATTGCAGGCTGATTCTCGCGGGGGGGGGGGGGGGGGGGGGGGGGGGGGTCGCTTGCCCAAATGTTGTGGTGAAAGGGGGGAAGCGGTGGGGGTCGCTGAGCAAAGGCACTGCCGATGAGGGAATGTTTGACTGTTCATGCTATGCTATGTAGGCTTTGCAAGGCCAGTTGTTTCCCACGGCCACAACAGAGAATCCGCTGCCGCGGGTATTAGCCTTATCTCCTCAGCTCAAGTTGCCTAGCAATACAGCATATGAGTACAGGCGAGCACGCAGCTGACAAGGGCAGATGTACGCGGTTGCATCTAATCAAGGCTGTCAAAGCCTTGCGCATCCCCTGCACCACGTCTTTGCACTCGTGCTGCAGAGACAAGCTTGTACAACTAGTTCGGCTAGCCAACCGTGTGGGCCGCGTGTTGCTGGTGCCGGACCCCGTCTGTGATTCGCCGTGGGTGAGGCAGTGGACAGCCCAGGGCTTCTGAGCTGGCTGTGATGTACTGTCAGCAGCAACAAAAGAAACATTCCTGATCCTGCCTTGCCAGCCCTGCAAGCAGCTGTGCAATGACACAATACTCTCATGCATCATGACTTCAGACTACTAGTTCAGTGCATTTTGCAGCTGGGCGGGCCCCGCGAAATGCGACCGCCCATTTTTGGCCACAATCGGAGCAACTATGACATTGAACAGGTGGCTTTCTAGCATCCATCGAGTTTCCCAGCCCAACTGCCAGTTACATGTTTGCAGCACGCTTGCAGATATAATGCAGGGTTCGGCAATGGTGTCTCCCATACTTTGCCATGTTGTGTCCCTGCCTTGCCATGTCCCTCTTGCTAATGCCCGCGCAGCTGCTCACTTACGGTTTTGACGATGACCAGCACTGCATTTGGTGGCATGTGGTGGATCCTACATGCATGCCGGGCAGGTATGGCCTGGCTAGTCAGCTTACCAATTACTTCCGCGACCGTTTATTGCTACACTTTTCTTCCTAATCATTTCGTGCAGGTACATTGTTCACCCTGATTACAAGGCGTTCTTGCGGCTTCTGCCAGAGGGCACCGATCAGCCTGCACCAGATAACACAGTGCACCTGGGCGCCCTTGAGCCAGGGCAGGGGCAGGACACCAAGGAAAAGGCCCAGGCCAGCGCAAGCGAGGTGCACGCGCGGACAGGAAGCCCAGTGAGCACCCCCCAGCCTGGCGCACAGGACACAGTGCAGAGACGCACTGCTGAGCAGCAGCAGGGCGAGGGTCCCAGCTTGGCAGCAGCTGCAAAGGCGGCAGAGCAGAAGGCCGAGCCGCACATCCTCTTCTTGGACGCCATTCCGGACCTTACACCCGGCGGCTGGCCCGAGGAGGGCGAGACCGACCAGGTGTGGAAGGATTGGGTTGCCAGTTGCACTTGGGCCCACGAGCTGTCACTAACATAGTGGCGTCGCCACCTAGGCGAGCGGCAGCAACATGGGGAAATGCATGATGGACCATCTTTGAGTGGCATGTTATGTGAAATGAGATGTAAAAGCAGACGGGCAAATTATGCTGCAGGCCCAGATATGCAGCAACCTCATTACAGACTCTGACAAACATGCTGGCCTGTCTCCCTCTCTGCCACGCCTAGGCCTGTGGTCTGGAAGCAGCGCCACCAGTATGGTGGTGTGGTGGTGGTGGCAATGATGATTGAGCAGGAGCTGCCAATCACTCGTGCAACAGCCTGGTGTGACTGGCCCTTTGTGCGGGGCTGCGGCTTCTTGTCCAAGAGGACATTGTTTTGTGGATGTGAGTCGACTATGGGCAGGCATTATCTGCCTCGTCAGCCACAGAATGGGCGTGGGGCCGATCAGTAAATTTGCTGATGCTAAAGTCTGCTTGCAACCTGCAGGCAAGAGCGCCGCAGGGAGCACTTGGCAAACAATGGGTGAGGGCATAGACAGTCATACCACTGAACAACATTATTTTGCAATTTGTCCACCAAAGAGGTGGTGTTGAACAATACCGGAGAGAAGGGAAAAGGGTGATGGCAAGACGATAACCTTTGTGATGGCCCCTTCTATTGACTGCACGAAGAGTTGTGTGACGAGACAGAGCATCGGAATCCTTAGCGTGGGCTGATGCGGCTCCGCATCAAAGAAGCAATTGCCCACAATGACTTAAGAGCACCTCCGATCGCCCTGCGCCTGCCATGCAGCGCCCTGCGCCTGCCATGCAGCAGGGAACAGGTGCTGCTGTCACTCCCGTGGGTTGATAGCTCCGGGAAAGGGCCATCTTGGCGAGAAGGCAGCTTGGGAAGATTCCTAAACATTATTATTGGGGAAGATTCCTCCAAATTATTGGACAATGGTATTAAACAAAATTTCTGATGTACAGTAAACTACTTATTGATTTCGCAATACAAATGGGGCAGTCCACGTCCATCTACCATGCAATAGCCACCTCCTTATCACCACGGTTGGCAAACATGTCCAACTGGACGCCTATGGCATCTACTCCCCAGCCGCCCTCGACCACCATAACGCCCACCAGCTTCACCTTTCTCCCCTTGTCGGGGCTGGAGCTTTCGTCCAGGACAGTCACCCGCAGCTTGCACTGTTTGTGCTGCGATGCCTGCATAGGCAAAAAGTTGTTGTGGATTGCCCTGCCAGGTGAACCAGCCAGGGGATCACTCCAGCAGCACACGCAACAGATGGATTAGTGACAGGGATAGTATCATGCAGAGCCATAATGCATGAAGCACAGGAGGACAGACATATGCTGCATTGCGTGCCTGGAAGCGATGGAGCTCTGTGAGCGAAGCCTCTCGCGTCCAGTATCCATCAAAGAGCGTCTCGTTGCACCTGCAGCAATGTGTGGACGGAATACTGTTGTGATCAGCACAGCGCCGTAGTTGCAACACTCCTGACGTGCACTCGCAGACTCACTTGCAGTTGGACATGCATTGAACCTTGGCCCTGCCCTGCTGTTCGAAAGACTTCAGATAGGCTACCACAACTTCATTGCTGTCTGGTTTCAAGTCACCCTGTGCCATCCGACCCGCAGCAGCAGCTCAGTGGAAAAAGGAATCGCTTATGCCGGCCAATTAACCAATCAAATGCCAGCCAATCAGCTACCCAATGTAGGCACGGCAAAGTGACGTGCCCAGCAAATAGCACTTGCAAATAGCAGTTGGAAATAGTACTTGCAAATAGCACTTGCCTCCAGCTCGGTTGTTGTATCCACCTCCAACTCTACCCATGATCCCGGCATGTCGCTGATCCACCCCCACTTTTCGTTGGCCGGCCCCTGTACCCCCGGACGCTCGTTCTTCCAGACAAAGCCTTGTTGTGCCACTACCACCTTCTCAAAGTTGCGCTGCAGGAGGCAGGTAGAGCTGTGACGCTGCAGGTTGCCTGGGACCATGGGCGCTGGCAGTGCTTCCTGCACAGTTCAGCGCACGGGCGTGTCAGCTTGTAAGTTTTGACGCTCTACTCCTCGTGATAGTTATTGGTGCTCGTTGCTCTGCCAGATGCAGCTGGCTATTGGCCCCAACAAACCGGGAAGCTGCTGCTGGCTCGCCTGTGCAATATCTTCGTCATCCTTGTCCAGCGGTCGCTGGACCAGCTCCACAGCAGTGGCACGGACTAGGCAATGACGAGATCTCATAGCGCCCGATATCCCGTGCGATCCTGAGGATGTATGTCATCTGCAGAATAAGAGAAAGATGGTCATCGTGCTGAGCAGCAGAGTGTCGGGGCCGTAGCCAGCTCGGGCAAGTTGTTTGGTAGCCCACCCCAGTAGTAAAAGTTGTCTTCCTGAGGAGCCCAGGCCGGATCGTTAGAATGGCGCCCAAATGTGTCATGTGCTGTAAAGCAAGATAAGCACTTCTGAGCTAGTGATGCAACTAATCCACCAGCACTGAGCCTCCCTTAACTCCACAGGCACTGGGCCTCCCTAACTCCGCAGCGTTTACCCTGGAAGCCTTCGACTTTATTTGCCATCAGATGGTACGTGGCAGCACGAATGGAGAGGACTGGCAAAGAGTAGTACTGGCCTGTCAAGAATCGCGAGAGCTTTAACATTTGTTAGTGAGATAAAATGTCCCTTGCCAACGCCTCACACGAACACAAACCATGCACTCTGATCAACAGCTCACATACCAAGTACATTGAATTCATTCTCTGGGGTGATCAAAAAGTCCCCTCTCTTGTCACCTCCACCACCAGCTGTAAACCAGGAATAGTGATGAAGAAGCACCACAGCTGGCCTGAGGCAGGCAACAGGCAAAACATGCAGTGACATTCTGATCACCGGGAAGGTATATAACTGCACTGCTTGGCAATTGCGCTATTGCATAGCCCTAAGTTGCCACCTGTTCTCGAACTCCAACAGCTTCCGCAGCAAACGTTCGTAGCTGAGGCGAGCGGGGTCCCGGAAATCTCTTTTTCTGTAATCATCATTAGCTGCAAACTCGACAAGCACCTACAGAAAACAACATTTCAACAAACGGGTGGGCAACTTCCAGCTGTGGTATAGGTTGCACCAAGCCTATGGTGTAGGTTGCACCAAGCCAAAGTCTCAGTCTACCAGGTCAACATCGCTCTGTACCATGTCCTTGACGCATACAGCAAATATGCCTGCATCACACAGCATCAGGGTCTGCACCAAGCAGGGGACCAATGAGGCAATGATGGCTGCCTCATCCACGGCGAAATCCGGGGCTCAAAGGGTGTCCCCAACAGCCAAGTTGAGGATGGCTAGGGCTAATACTCCATGCGGGCCTGAGGTGCTGCCTCCAAATGCGGCATGCTTGAGGTAGTGGTTGGCATTGGGCGACACATCTTCGATCCAATCCCAAATGCGCTTCATGTACGGCATTCCATATCGAGCCCCCTGCCCCGCTGTTATGGAGCCGCCTACCGCTCCGTGCATCATGAGTTTCTCAGCTGAAATCCGGCCTAAGTAAGTAAGTACAAATGCACGGGTTCGGGTTATGTTTCCGTTGCAGTACCATGCAGTACATGACTGAAAGGGCCGGATAGTGCTTTTGGGGGATCGAAATGGGTCCCCAAACACTCTAAATGCTCCTGGAAGCTGGAAGCTGCGCCCCCAGCCCGCCATCACACGAAAACACTATATAACGGGCTCTAAATTTTTCCCTGCTCATACGAAGCTCAGTTATCTATAATTACAAATCAAATATTAGTTCATAGAGGAATCGATGGCGCGGTTCACAATTGCCGGCCGCCCTCAGACAACCTTTTGTGCTGCGGCGTTGGGTGCTGTTTCGGTGCCCCTGATTTTCGTGGCCTTCGTCTTCCATGCTTCTGACCCCCACACGGCGAATGTATTTTGGCGGCTGCAGTCAACGGGGCTGCGATCCCGGGGGTGTGATTGCAGCAAGCTGCCGCTGGCGGCGCGCTGTCCTGCCAATTCAAGCGCTGAGCCGCAGGTGATTGATGCGTGTGTGCACCTCCCTTCTGGCTTTCGCGTTCTCATCAGCGCTTCATGCATTCTGCAGTATGACGCCACTATCCAGCAGCGGTTATGGGAGTATCAGCCCTTTCTCTCATCGCGTTCATTGCGGCAGGGAATGTACAGCCTTGGCGAGGGATCGCGTATGCGGCGCTTCACACATAAGCTGCTGTCGGGCCAGCCCATCTCACTGTCTGCTGTAGGCGGCTCCATAACAGCGGGGCAGGGGGCTCGATATGGAATGCCGTACATGAAGCGCATTTGGGATTGGATCGAAGATGTGTCGCCCAATGCCAACCACTACCTCAAGCATGCCGCATTTGGAGGCAGCACCTCAGGCCCGCATGGAGTATTAGCCCTAGCCATCCTCAACTTGGCTGTTGGGGACACCCTTTGAGCCCCGGATTTCGCCGTGGATGAGGCAGCCATCATTGCCTCATTGGTCCCCTGCTTGGTGCAGACCCTGATGCTGTGTGATGCAGGCATATTTGCTGTATGCGTCAAGGACATGGTACAGAGCGATGTTGACCTGGTAGACTGAGACTTTGGCTTGGTGCAACCTACACCATAGGCTTGGTGCAACCTATACCACAGCTGGAAGTTGCCCACCCGTTTGTTGAAATGTTGTTTTCTGTAGGTGCTTGTCGAGTTTGCAGCTAATGATGATTACAGAAAAAGAGATTTCCGGGACCCCGCTCGCCTCAGCTACGAACGTTTGCTGCGGAAGCTGTTGGAGTTCGAGAACAGGTGGCAACTTAGGGCTATGCAATAGCGCAATTGCCAAGCAGTGCAGTTATATACCTTCCCGGTGATCAGAATGTCACTGCATGTTTTGCCTGTTGCCTGCCTCAGGCCAGCTGTGGTGCTTCTTCATCACTATTCCTGGTTTACAGCTGGTGGTGGAGGTGACAAGAGAGGGGACTTTTTGATCACCCCAGAGAATGAATTCAATGTACTTGGTATGTGAGCTGTTGATCAGAGTGCATGGTTTGTGTTCGTGTGAGGCGTTGGCAAGGGACATTTTATCTCACTAACAAATGTTAAAGCTCTCGCGATTCTTGACAGGCCAGTACTACTCTTTGCCAGTCCTCTCCATTCGTGCTGCCACGTACCATCTGATGGCAAATAAAGTCGAAGGCTTCCAGGGTAAACGCTGCGGAGTTAGGGAGGCCCAGTGCCTGTGGAGTTAAGGGAGGCTCAGTGCTGGTGGATTAGTTGCATCACTAGCTCAGAAGTGCTTATCTTGCTTTACAGCACATGACACATTTGGGCGCCATTCTAACGATCCGGCCTGGGCTCCTCAGGAAGACAACTTTTACTACTGGGGTGGGCTACCAAACAACTTGCCCGAGCTGGCTACGGCCCCGACACTCTGCTGCTCAGCACGATGACCATCTTTCTCTTATTCTGCAGATGACATACATCCTCAGGATCGCACGGGATATCGGGCGCTATCAGATCTCGTCATTGCCTAGTCCGTGCCATTGCTGTGGAGCTGGTCCAGCGACCGCTGGACAAGGATGACGAAGATATTGCACAGGCGAGCCAGCAGCAGCTTCCCGGTTTGTTGGGGCCAATAGCCAGCTGCATCTGGCAGAGCAACGAGCACCAATAACTATCACGAGGAGTAGAGCGTCAAAACTTACAAGCTGACACGCCCGTGCGCTGAACTGTGCAGGAAGCACTGCCAGCGCCCATGGTCCCAGGCAACCTGCAGCGTCACAGCTCTACCTGCCTCCTGCAGCGCAACTTTGAGAAGGTGGTAGTGGCACAACAAGGCTTTGTCTGGAAGAACGAGCGTCCGGGGGTACAGGGGCCGGCCAACGAAAAGTGGGGGTGGATCAGCGACATGCCGGGATCATGGGTAGAGTTGGAGGTGGATACAACAACCGAGCTGGAGGCAAGTGCTATTTGCAAGTACTATTTCCAACTGCTATTTGCAAGTGCTATTTGCTGGGCACGTCACTTTGCCGTGCCTACATTGGGTAGCTGATTGGCTGGCATTTGATTGGTTAATTGGCCGGCATAAGCGATTCCTTTTTCCACTGAGCTGCTGCTGCGGGTCGGATGGCACAGGGTGACTTGAAACCAGACAGCAATGAAGTTGTGGTAGCCTATCTGAAGTCTTTCGAACAGCAGGGCAGGGCCAAGGTTCAATGCATGTCCAACTGCAAGTGAGTCTGCGAGTGCACGTCAGGAGTGTTGCAACTACGGCGCTGTGCTGATCACAACAGTATTCCGTCCACACATTGCTGCAGGTGCAACGAGACGCTCTTTGATGGATACTGGACGCGAGAGGCTTCGCTCACAGAGCTCCATCGCTTCCAGGCACGCAATGCAGTATATGTCTGTCCTCCTGTGCTTCATGCATTATGGCTCTGCATGATACCATCCCTGTCACTAATCCATCTGTTGCGTGTGCTGCTGGAGTGATCCCCTGGCTGGTTCACCTGGCAGGGCAATCCACAACAACTTTTTGCCAATGCAGGCATCGCAGCACAAACAGTGCAAGCTGCGGGTGGCTGTCCTGGACGAAAGCTCCAGCCCCGACAAGGGGAGAAAGGTGAAGCTAGTGGGCGTTATGGTGGTCGAGGGCGGCTGGGGAGTAGATGCCATAGGCGTCCAGTTGGACATGTTTGCCAACCGTGGTGATAAGGAGGTGGCTATTGCATGATTAGATGGATGTGGTTTGCCACTGACTGTGGAGGGGTGCTCCCGGTGTGCCTCCCCCCTAGGATGGCCCTTTGCCGGAGCTACCCATTCACGGGAGTGGCATGCAGCGCCTGTTCCCTGCTGCATAGCAGGTGCAGGGCCGATCGGAGGTGCGGCAGGAAGGCCGAAAATAGTGCTCTATAGGCAAAAACAAAATGGTCGATTGCTTCCTTGATGCGGATCCTCGCCAGCCGCTCGCGCTCAGGATTCCGATGCTCGATGTTGGCACACAACTCTTCGTGCAATATCAGGGGCCAGGTCCAAGGTTATCGGCGTGGTGCGGAGTGAAGCAGCTGTGGGGTGTTTGCCCGCTCGCCAGCAACTCGGAATTGTGGTCCTTGCCGCCCCGGCATACTAAACCTTTCATCTTTACTGACCGGGCGGCGTATACCCCAGTGCTACGCATGTCTCACACACTGTAGGAGAAACGCTGCAGGAATTATCCCGTGCATGCACGCGTGCAACTCACGAAGATATCAGCGGGTTGCTGTTGGTAGGCATGACAGCGCCGTGATCTGCACTGGCTAAGTCGTGGTCACAGCAGTATGGGGTCGGCGCTGGTGGTGGCAAATCAGATCAAGATCACGGGACGCCCAACATTGCGATACTGTAGCTGCTATATGTTACAGCCTGCTGTAACTGCTGTTTTCTGTGGCTGCAGCTGGAGGCCCATGCTGCTGTTCATCACTTTCACTGACGTGCTGCAGCTGTCGGCGGGTGATGGTGCCGCTGCAGCGGGTCGGAGCCCACACTGTGCGGTTTCCGGATTTAATTCCTTCCCTGCCTCATTGTTTCCCACCCTCCCACCCTGCAGCGCGGAGCGCTGCCGAGGCAGGGCGACGCCGCTGCCGGTGGCGCATCTGCATAGCATAGACAGGCATACCGCCGAGCAAAATATCGGCGAATAGTCCACGGGGTGGAGGTGGTGTTTAATATCACCGATGGGAAAAGGGAAAGAGGTAGGAGAGAGGGAGAGCATAGCATGTGGCTGCGCGCTGGCTGGCCATCAGCAGCTTGGTTCATTGCAGCCTCCTGCTTGCAATTCTCACAGAGTGCATGCGTGCATGCCCACAATGCTGTTGTGTTTTCTGGCCACCTGCCACGTTTGGCCACCTGCCACGTATGTAGCATGCGGGGTGGCGCCTGAGACTGGCCCACCGCCCCCTACCGACAGTAGCTGCAGCAGAAAACAGGAAGCCCCCCAGCTCAAGTGGCCAGGCAGAGCATGCTCTGCCTGGTGGAACAAGATGTGATGGTTTCATAAAAATCGGTGCAGTCAAAAAGGCCATTTGCCAACAAGCTGCGTGCATATCAGCAGTGAGTCAGAGGGTTTGTAAAGGACGTGTGCACTTTACCGGTGGCTGCCAGGCTCAATACAGCGCAGCGGATCATAAAGTGAGGCTTCACGACACAGTGCAGCAGCCGCTCTCTTCTGGTTGCCGAACCATGACAGTACGTGGCAACTTGGCCAAAATGTCCTCCAGCTCCTTCATAAGTGTGGCAAAAGCAGGTCGGTCCTCAGGGTTGGGGCTCCAGCACCGCGCGATCAGCTCCCGCACCTCCTGCAGCAGGTCGCAGAGAGAGTATCAAGAAGTCTGTGCAGTGCCGAGCAGCACCACAGCGACATATACAGAAGCGGGTGCCCCGCACCTTCTTCATTACATGCGGCTGCATGAGCGCCACAAACTCTGGCCGCCGCTCATACAGCGCCGCTTGCCGCGCCGCCTCCACTGGGTCCATCCCCGCAAATGGCGGCTGAAACTGTGACGAACAGACAAAGAGATCGCGGTGCTAAGCAGGACGTGAGCTATGTAGCAAGCTCTGTGAAGAGCAGCAGTCAGGGAGCAGCACCGCACACCTCGAACAGCTGATAGACAATCATGGAAAAGGAGTACACATCCACACGGCTGTTGTAGGGCTCGTGCCGGAACACCTCGGGTGCCATGTACCGGTAGGAGCCTGGGCAGGCAAACCGTGAAATGGAAGCAATCGACCGAGTGGGGCTAGAAGAAGCAGCATCAGGGCAGCCGTAGCTTACAGTGACAGCACATTGGTCAGGAGCAGCGTGGCAAATGACTCACCCGTTTCGCCGGTAAGCCTAAACTTGGAGTCCAGGTAGCCATATTCTGCATGCTTGTTGATGGGCAGCGTCTTGGATAGACCAAAATCGGCCTGCAGGAGAATGGTTATTGCCACACAAATACGAAGCAGGCGAGGGGGAGGCGAGGGGGAGGTTTCCGCACAAGTGCTGAAACCTCACCAGCTTCACCATGCCCGTGTCAAACACAATTTGCATCTGGTCCTGGTACTGTCCGCCGCTGAGCATCAGGTTGCCCGGCTTCAAATCTCGATGGATGATGGGGTTGGGCTTCCTGCCAGTCGAGGGACGAAGGAGAAAAAAGAGTGTGTGAAACGGCAAACATAAATAGGCCGGTCTTCAGCAGAAGGCATCAACGACGGAGCAAAACTGGAAGCCCGGCAGGTGCCAACCTGTGGTGCAGGTACGCCAGGCCGCGTGCCGCATCCAGCGCGATTTCCACCGCCCGCCTGATGGGGAAGACCTGTGGGCGCCGAAAGGCATCTGCCAGCGAGCCGCCGCTCATGAGCTCCGTGACCAGGATGAAGGGCTCCTTCTTGGTGCAGGCGCCCAGGAACTGCAGGCAGGGAATTCATGATGTCTTGATTGTCGGCCACCAGGTGTATACGAAAGGTGGGAGCGGAGCGATGGCTTGGAGCAGGTGCAATAAAGACGGACACACCTGCACGGCATTAGGGTGGTGCACGCGCCGCAGAATCTCGATCTCTCCACGGAAGTCACCCAGCGCGATTTCATTGGAGCCCTTTAAAATTTTGGCTGCCACCAACGTGCCATACCTGTCAGAGGGGCAAGAAGACAAGTGGGGATTGTTGCCGCCCCATGAGGAAGCAAGGGCAGAAACCGTGCTGGCGCAAGATTCCCTGCGTGTGCAGCATCCGACAGCCACAGCATGCGCTTAAACGCGGCCTGCCAGCCTCACCACTTGGCCTTGTGCACCACACCAAACTCGCCCTCTCCCAGCTTCTCCATGATCTCCAGCGAGTCAGGGTCAATCTCCCTGCAATTGAGAAAGTGGTCAGCCAGCCTGGCAAGGAAATATGCATCAATAAGCCAAGCACGGCGCAGCTTCTTTCTTCTCACCACTCGGGGTCGAAGTCAAACATCTGTTGCGGGACGTAGCCAAACACCCCCGCCAGCTTGCTGTCCTTGAGCTCCACCAGGCCGCCATCCTCGAAAACCTTGCCACCATTGTCGGTCAGCAGCTTGGCCACCTCTCGAAACTCACCGCGCACGGCATCCTGCAGCTGGCCACCAGCAGCACAAGCGGCCTTCAGTTAGCCAGCAAAGTAGCACGATGGGATGGACACGCTGTGCTGTGGCAGTACAGCCTAAACTGTACCTCCAGCGACGTGCGCTTGAAGCGGTCCAGGGAGTTGATATCCACCCGCTGCGCCAGCAGCCATTCAGTGACCTGGTACGCGCCCTCACTGGCTGCCAGGTGCCTGCACAAAACACACGCACGTGACAAACATAATGATCGGGGCGTGTTGCGCTCGAGCCCTTCCAAGGACGACAAGTGTTGCCTTGATGCAAGAAAAGCCCATTCTCTAGCAAACTGGATGCAGCCGTGTGGCATGCAGCACATGCAACCAGTGCTAGAGTCTAGACCAGCGCTCACAGTGGCGTGCGCTTGTCATAATCGCAACAAGTTGGGTCAGAGACCTGCATGAGAAACCGGCACATCACAATGCCACTCTGGAGCAGGCACATGCAACAGCATAGAGGGCGTCTGCCCCAGGCTGCAGTTGCCGCCAAATGAACAGTTATCAGGCAAGAGCACACCTGCAGGTTCCAAATCCGCACTATGCGCTGGCAGCGCCGTATGTCGCCCACGCTGGCAAAGAACAGCAGCTCGGTGATGGCTCGTCGCCGTGCAGCCTGCAGGCACCAATCTCTCGATGGAAGAATGGCAAGGTGCAGCGCCCGCATGATGCTCTGGTAGCGTGCCACGCCTCTGTGCGCTCACCGTGTCCCCGTGGATGCTCTGCTGCGCTTCGGCGTAACGCCTCTTGCTGTGATTCGTGTCGTCCCCGCTCTCCTGTGGGTCTCCGTTCTGTGCGTAGGGCCTAATTCCCAAGTTGTCTTGCGTCCCCTGCACACTCAAGTCCAGAAGGCTGTCCCCCGCAGGCTCGAGCGCCATCTGCTCCCTGGAGACGGGGGGAGGTAAGTGGGTGAGTGTGCACGCGGGCGGCGGCGGCCGCCCCCAGGGGCAAGACACCCTGGTGCGAGCATGGCATCATCATCATCCCACGCAACGTGTAGGGCCCCCCGGCGGACGCACAGCACAGACGTGGGCCCCGGGTTCGGGCAGCCCAACTCACCCCGCCTCTCTGGGTTACCCACACAACGCAACGCCCTGGTGCAAGACTGTTACTTGGCGCCGCCAAATTGCAAGCACCTTGCACCACGGACCTCAGGTGCAGTGGCCTCTTCTGGGCAAACCCACCGTGTCACTGCTCTTTAGGGCTGGTGTGCCAACAAAAGTGTCACAATAATGCACTCATGAGTGCACACCACCTTGTTGCAGCAGTGTACGCTGTCGTCATCAACAGCGTGGCACGCGAGAACAGAGACGCAGAAAACACAAATCCTTACCGAGATGGTTCCCAGCTCGCAGGCCACCGCCTCTCTCTCCCACGTTTCCTTCGCGTGGGACGTGCTTTGCCACGCCCTCAGAGGGGCCGAGGCTGCTCTGCACGCCCCCTCTGCGCGCTTTGACGACATCCCTAGGTGAGGGCGCCCGCACTGCTCTCCCCGCCGCCTCATCCTGTGCCGCTCCGCACCCCCGCTGCCGCCACGGCACCCTCCGCCGCTGCCGCCTTACACCCTCCGCGGCCGCCACCTCTCACAGTTCGCTGTTCATTACGTGGACAAAGGCCAGCCGTCTGGACGGCGACTACCGGCTGAGGGGCTGCATAGGGACGCTGGAGCCTCGGCCATTGCACTCGGCAGTGCGGGATTATACATTGACGAGGTGTGGGGCTGCCCTTGGCTCCTTGTGCTGCATTTCCATGGTACAGCCCGTCACGCGCTGAATTGACGGTATTCACCTGGTGCAGCGCATTGCGAGACCGGCGCTTCAACCCCATCCAGGCCAAGGAGCTGCCGTACTTGCGCTGCACCGTCTCGCTGCTGAGCTGCTTCGAGCAGGCGGCAACCTGGAGCGACTGGGAGATTGGCGTGCATGGTGCGTGGGTGCAGCTGTGTGGCATGCACGTCAATTAGCGGAGCTCAACAATCCAGCAGCGCTTCAACAAATGCGCAGGCCGCTCCACTCCCTCGCACAGGTCTGATTATCGAGTTTGTGGAGCCTCACAGCAGCCAGCGGCGCACGGCCACCTTCCTCCCAGAGGTGGCATCGCACGAGGGCTGGGACAAGCAGCAGGTGCAGTGCTGCCGGCACATCCTGTGCAACTTGCTTGCTGCCCTGCGTTAATTACCCACCAGTTCTCCAACTCACCTGCTCGCTCCGGCCTGTCGCAGACCATCGACCAGCTCATCCGCAAAGCCGGCTTCACCAGCACAGCGGTGACAGTCCGTAGCAGCCTACGGGTCACGCGTTACCAGTCCACAACCTGCAGCCTGACGTACGACGAATACTGCAAGCTGAAGGACAGGGAGCATGCAGGCAGCAAGGTGCTGCTGCACAAGCAGCAGCTGGTGACAGTCTCGGCAGCGCAGTAGCATCCATTCAGCTGCAACATACAGATCGGTACTCATGCCTTTTTCATGTACAGCAGATATCATTGCCTCAGAAGCTCTCTTTATACTACTAATCCCATCAACAGATCTCTCCCTCCTGCCCTCTCTATATTGCTCAATAGGAAGGCATCTGCGACTTTACAGCAGCCTATTGCAAAGGGAGTCGTTCAACAGATGGAACTGCAATGTTTTCATCAGCGGCAGCGATGGGGATCACAAACTCGATGCGTCGTCGAAGCGCCTTTGCCTGTGCGGTGACAGCATCTGCAGCAGGCACACAGGCGGAGGGAAACATAATAGGGCTGGGTTGCCAGCGGGCATTCCAGCTGAGCCTAGCCTCCGTCATCTTGGGCGGTAGCCATCTTGCAGTGCCACACAACACAGACACCCACCCTTCACGAACTGCTGACGGCATCACATGCCGCCACATGCCGCCCGCCCGCCAAACACCCCCACCTTCAGCACTCACCCCTATCTTTGGCAGCGGCTCGCATCTCCAAGTTCATCATGAAGTGCTTCTTGGCGGCGTGCTGGAAAATCACGTCATCGGCCTGCATGACAATATCCGGAAGCATTCATGGGCAGGATGCTTAGCAATTGGCATATCCAAAATGCGCAGCCCGACCACGTGCTTCAGCACAAGAAAAGTTCGGCCTTCTGATTCACAGCAGTGCAGATCTCACCAGGTGCTCAAAGGCCTCAGGGGGCATGACAGACGTCACAAGGAAGGTAGCCCCTGGAGGAGCAAAAAAAAGCAAAGTTGAGCAGTGGACTGTTAATTACCAACACCCAGCACCTTGTCGCACCTCCAGTCAAAACAGTCCTGCCGTCATCCTGGAAACCGCCGCCATACTCGCTCATCGCATTGACTAGCACTGGGAGCATTGCCGGCGACATCTGCAGGGACAAAAGGTAGGTCAGTGGGCAATCAAGAATGGTGGGGAATGGCATGGCGTAAGGGATTGAGTGGGCCAACCCGGCAGCTGGTTGCAGCTGCCTTGAAGCAACCCAGTAGCATCTCAGGCCAGCACCTGGTCAATACGTTGAAGCAGGACCACGCCATTAGGCGCTGACATGAAGTACTCAGCAAGTAAGGACTGCGGTTGCAGTCAAAAACGAAACAGCAGCTGCTCGTTTTGCTCCATGTTGAAGAGCAGCACGGTGCCCAGGTGCCAATTGCAGAAAACATCATACCCCACTGCCGCATTTCTCACTTGCAAGGAACCCTTGTCCTGGCCCAGCTGCTGCCCATGGAGTGGTAGCATGCAGTGTTGGCCGCCCTTCACTGCAGCGCGCACAGCTTCCGCAGAGGAACGGCAGTCCGCCGCGGCCTGGCACACAAACAGTGCCACAGCAGCCTGCAGCGCCCACAGCAGGGCAGACACCTTGCATAGCAAGGATTACACGGCTGCAGGAGCAGCAGCGCCACCTCAACAATCCACATGCACAAGCGGCACCCCACCTTGAACTGCTGTCTCTCAGCCGCAGCAGACAGTACAGCTGCAGCGGTGGCCTGCTGCATGTCAAACTTGCTGCCCTTTGGCATCACAGCACGTAGTGCAGCCGCGGCATCGAACCGACAGGCCAGCGGGCTGGCACGGTCGACGAGGCCTATGCCAAGTAAGGGGGACTGCAGCAGGTTCCCAATAGAGCAAAGGAAGCGAAAGTGTGGGAAGCAATAAGGCAACGACCAGCCACAATGAACAGGGTGCAGAAGCGGCAAACAGACAGGAAACCAAAACTGCCAACCAGGGACTTCCACCGCGCCTGCAGCGCATCCGTGGCAGAGAGCACCTGCACCCGTGCTTGGCTGTAGGCGGTCACTGCTGCCTCTATCACCAATTCAGGCAAGTTGCGTGCCAGCTCGGCACAGTTGCGCTGCTGGCATTGTGGCACCACCAGCACGGAGGCAGCCAATACTGTTGCCAGCAGCAGCGGCCATGTGCGTAGCCTCCCTGTGCACCCACTCGCTTGCTGCCTGGTAGCAGTCTCCTGTTGAGGCAAACGCCGGCGGCAGCTGCGCTGTGATCGCTGGCCTCCCTCGCCGGATGCGCTTGCAGCGCGTGGCAATGGCGTGCCTGCCGCTGCCTTCAGCGCCTCTTTGTCCACACCACCTGTCCGCTGGCTGTCCTGGCCGCACTCCTGAGCGATAATACGGCCCACAATGTCTGATGCTTTTCTGCAATAGCAGGAGAAGGGGGTGGGGACGCGCGTGGGCGGTGGTGGCGGGGCGGTAGATGAACGGCGCTGAAGCTTGAGCCCACCCGTTGGACTTGACTCCTGCTTCCTTGGCTCTCTGTTGTAGCTCTCGATAGGTGCAAAGGCCCAACTGGGCCTCCAATTGGGCCTTCGCACCGGTCATGGGACCCAGTAGCTGCCTCCCAACTTGTTAGGAGGCTAGATGAGTGTATTAATAATGGAGGTGCAGATTGTGAAAAGAGGGGCGGGAGATTATGAATTGCGATTGCGATGGTTGGCATTGCGATGGCAATGGATGATTTCAAAAAAAAGTGTGGGGGCCAGCCTGGCGGAAACTGAAATCGGCTGCATCGTTCAGTGTAGTGGATCCACCATCCGTTCTTCCCTCCATCTGCAACAAACGGTCCCTCCGTGAGACACTCATGCGCTGTGTAGCCAACCGGTAGCACACACGCTGATGGTAAGGATTTTTGGGGCGTTGGGATCTCTAACGTGTCACACTGGCGCTGCAGGGGGTGCGCCACCCCCATCCCCCGCCAACCCCGCCGCTCGCCTGCAGCTGCGGCGGCGGGCGGTTTGGGAGGAGCGCCGCCTCCCGCCCCTGCTTCTTTTGACGACGAAACCCCGTCGGCTGCTGCTAGCCCTCCTGTTTGTCGTGGCCGTCATTGAGCTGCACCTGGGCCACTTCCACTCTGCCGCACTGGCACAGCTGCAACTGCACGTCCAGGCGCCGCAGATGCCGCGGCGTGTCGTCACTCAGCGCAGCACTGACGACTGGGCGCAGCAAGGCGAGAGTGGCGCGTATTACAGTGGCGGCGATAGGACCCTGTCATTTGATGTGTGCGGCGGCTTCGCCCAGCAGCGCGTGGCACTGCTGTCCGGTGAGGTGCCTACATGAGCATGCCAAGCGGCCTCCTTCAATCGCGTACGGGGTTGTGGAGGTGCAGTCTTCTTTGTTTTCACACATTTTCAGCACTTGCATGTTTGAATGCAGGTGTTGTGCTTGCCATGGAGCTCAACCGCACCATGGTGCTGCCGCGCCTGCTGCTGGATGGCACGGCACCTGTAAACAGATCCACAGTATCCATGGCTTTTGGGTGGGTGCATGCTTTACGACGCTCTGTCTTGACTGAAAATGTGTGCCACCGCGCGTCTGCAAATTTTTGTCTTGCATCGCTGCCCGCAGGGAGTTGTTTGACGCAGAGCACTTTGTCGAGCACATGCGAATGCTGGGTGTCAGCATAGCAGTCGACTCGCCGCACCCTGCCAAAACATTTTCTCTGCGACTTGATCAGCAGTACGACCACATGAAGGCTCTTAGAATCACCCATGCCTCCAAACAGCACCTCAGGTGAGCACACCCCTGCATGTTCTCCAAAAGTGATGAAATCCCATGCATTTGTGCACTGAACCCCTGCTAGCCTGCTGCAGAGTGGGCTGCCCTGCGCTCAAAGTGCCAGCCGACTTGATGGTGACGCACGAGGGCCTTGTGTTCGCAGCCATGGATGCCATGCGGCCATCAGATCGGTTGTTGGACATCATCCACATGTGCGTCCGATATACATCAGCAGTAATACCTGCTGCGCTACTGTTGGAGGATGGCGGCATGGCGAGTGAGGCAGCCTGCTGCCGGTGTGCAGGGTTGGGGGCCACCTGGAAGGCCTGAGTGACACCAACACGTACAACATCCTGCATCTGAGGACTGATGATGATTGGACTGCTTACTGTGCTCTTTGGGAGCGCCCAACTGCTGATGGTGAGCAGTGCCTACTAGTTTCGGATGGTTTTCAGCACGCATCGTTTTTGACTTGCATTGATGACCAATCTGCATAGTTCGTGCAGAATTGCAAGTTCATGACAACTGCTTGAGCAACACTGGAACAGTCGGAGATCAGCTGCGATTGCATCGTGTTGATCGGCAGGTATGATTTGCAAGGGACATGAGTTTTCATACACACCAGCCCAGCAGGCTGCAGACGGAATTGGGTAAAACATTGATCAATGCATCCAACCTTAAGCTGCCATATGCGTACTGCTCGCAGGTGCCACTGATGATGTTTGTTGACGCGTTGCATACCAACAGCGACCTTTTGCAACAAGCACTACATAACCTACAGGCACACAAGTGCGTAATGAGACGCTCGGGAAGGAGCCCACAGCCTTGGTTGATGGTTGCTGCGAAACCTGTTTCACATGTACCTGCATGGTTGTTTGCTTGCTGACTGCCTTATCACCAAAAGTGTCTCACATTTTGCATTGCTGGTTATTGCAGCTACCAGGTGGTTCTGCGTGACGCAGTCTTTGAGCATGACCTTAAACTGCCTGGCCTCTCACGGGAGGAAATTGCACTGGTGAGATTTTGGGTCCGGGTTCTGCTGCTATTTCAAGGGTATGTTTCATTGACCTGCTGCCCTCCTGCTCTCAGGTTGATTACTACCTGGCGCTCGGCTGCCAGCAGTTTGTGGGCAACAGCGTATCTGTGTTCAGTGCGCTGCTCATTATGGAGCGTTGGCATGCGGGGCGGTTTGCCACTTATTACAATGGCGGCAACATCCCGCTGGAGGCCTTCATGCCGCTGTACCAGTGAGTCGTGCGAGCCCAATGCTCAGCAGGCATCGCAATGCTGAGCTCGTTTCGCCAGCCACATTGCTGCCTGACAAACTGCCGACGCTGGACTGTCCCACACCACACCACAGGATGCCCTGGGTGTTCACGTACAACGATTGGTCGGCGGGCACCGAGTATGATTATATGGTGAAGGCGGCTGTGACCTCTGGCATCGAGGTGGCCCGCATGAAGCCGTACTGCATGTACAGCGGCAGCACGTCTGCGGAGATGTACCAATGGTTCCTCAGCAAAGGAGTCACCATCATCCAGGTGACGGGCGTGCGGATGTGGGGGTCACGGTTATGCAGGGGCCAGCTTCATCACCAGCTCGTTGATCTGTTGTCGTGGAGCTGCCGCTGCAGCACGAGCCAGCGTGGCGGGATGCCCTGATCAAGGAGGGGGCACGCCACAAGGAGCAGAACCTGGTACACTCCCACCTCTACAAGACCGGGGGCACCCTGGTGGGCACCTTCCAGCGCATCGACATCCCCATCCTGCGCCAGTTTGACCAGTACAACTATGTGCTGTTCACAGGTGCGCAGCTTGTGGGGGCACGGGGGCATGGCGCAGCAGTTACCCTGTGCAGCTGCTCGTATGAACGCGGCATGCTCCTGTAGCAACGCTCTCTGCCTCGCAGTGCTTCATTCTGGCCTCTGCTGCAGACTGTGACGTTTACTTCCGCCAGCAGATGAAGCTGGTGGACTGGGGCACGCCGCTGCCTGAAGCGGTGGGGATGGGGTGAGCCCTGCTGCTTTTTCAGGACATGTTTGTGTTAGCCACACACGTGTTGTGTGTAAACAATTGCTTGAGTTGTGCGCAGCTACGAGGGCCAGGATGTCTTTCCCTACAACGCCGGCATCATGCTTATGAACATGCCTTTCATGAGGAAGACAAACAAGAAGTTTCTGAACTGGATCGTGTCGCAGAGGAATGGCCTGTACTACCCAGGCAAGTGTCAGGGACTGCGCAGCAGCCCACCTTTGCAACTGGCGCATGAGCATGCGTTTGCACTGTTAGCACTTGATGCTGCCGGCACATCATTGAGCAAGCGACAAAAACTTGGCATTGACCCTTGAGGTCACGCTTTTCTGGTGGTGCAGGGTATGGTCCGCTGGACCAGGGTGCCTTCAACCAGTTCTATGAGAAAGAGATCAGGGGCAAGCCGATCAGCAAGGTGCAAGTCTAATGTGCCGAAAGCCCAAACATGTGCCGGCAGGCATGCACTTCCCAGCATGCATGCCTGCCTCAGTTGTACCAAGGGCTGCTGCCATGCCCGCTGCAGAACTTCAACGCAATGATGTTCCACCAGTTCAGGCCGGATGCACGCATCGTGCACATGAATGGGTAAGGCCAGGCAAATTGATCTGAGGTCGGGGGGGGGGTTCGTTGTGAAGTACTTTCTGGCCCTGGCACCTGTCATAAACCCGTGCATGCCTTCCCGGTGTTCCGCGGTGAGTTGCTGGATGGGGCAGCATGCACACAATGTCAAGACATGTTTGTACAGAGCACGCCACATATACCCACCCAACCCAGTGCTGACTTTATTTCCCTGATAGTGTTCATGCAATGCAGGCCAAAGCCCAACCATTACTTGCAGTGGCTTACAAGCGGCAAGTGCGCGTTTCGGGACATGTGCGAGCTGGTACGCAACGTGCCTGCTGGTTTGCAAACAGGCCCTGATTGAGAACCCCAGTGGTGAATAATATGTCGTGTTGCCTACTGTTTTGCAGGGCGTCAACAACGGCGCATGCGAGTATGCAATGGAGTATACTCGGTTTGCCCCGGGCTGGGATGTGGCGATCACGCTGCGCAAGCTGTGCGGCAACCTGCAGGCTGGAATATGGCACGCCGGATGAGTCCTGCTTGTTGATCTGACGAATGAGTCCCGCTTTGGTATGACTTGTGCAATTCAGCATCAAGCTGCAAGGTGACTGGCGTGCGGTGTCAGCATCCGCGGCGCGCGTGGGCGCGCGGGACGCGTAGGCAGGATAGGTACTGCTGAGCCGCAGCGAGCGCACACCGCTGTTTCCTCGAGGGATCTCTACTAGTAGCAGGTTCGTCGGTCTCCGGTAGGCACCATGTCTAGGGTCTATGCGGTGAGTCCGGACAACCGCTGCGATGTATGGAGGTTGTTGGGCTGTGTGCACAGCGCTCTTTTTGGCCTTGGTAAGGCGAAACGGTGCTTTCAGGGCAGCAGGCGCGCGCGCTGTCTGGCTTGACAAAACCGCTCAGCACGTGGAGGTTGTGTCCTTCTGCAGCTAGGCACGCGCATGGCGGACGCCGCCTACCTGATGCGGGACACGGCACCCGGCGAGGCGCCACGCGAGAAGGGGACCGGCCGGCCCGCCCGGCGGCGCGGCCCGCCCGGCGGCGGCACCCGCGCCATGCTCCTCCTCCTGGTGCTAGCCTTCTTCGCGGCGCTGCTCTACATGGGCCCCGTGTACCCCAGCACGGTGCAGCAGCTGCACCTGCACCTGCGCCTGCCGCAGGTGTCGCAGAACGTGGAGCTGAAGCTGGGGGAGGCCGGCCTGCTGGCCGAGGACAGCGTGCAGCGAGCACTTGCAGCAGCCGTCAGCGGCTCCAGCGCCAGCACCCTGTCATTCGAGGTGTGCAGCGGCTTTGCCCACCAGCGCGTGGACATCGTGACAGGTGATGTTCGGTTGTTGTAATGCATGTGCTTCCCTTCTTGCCGCAGCAACCGCACAACTGCATTGCAGGAGGTGCACGACTCGAATGCCCCTGCCACGTTCCCCTGCACACATCACAATAACGGTCGCCTTGACCTTTGCTCCAAAAGGCTGCCCTCTGCCCTGTCATGTGCACAGGCCTGATCCTCGCCGTGGAGCTCAACCGCACCATGGTGCTTCCGCGCCTGCTGCTGGATGGCAGCCAGCCCACCGACGCCCAGGACAGCGAAGACGGGTTTGCTGGCTCTGTCGAGTTTGGGTGCGTGGTCCTGGCTTTCCTTTCTGCTGCCGCTGGAGCCCTCATGTTTGGCATGCGCTGTGTGCCTTTGCGTGTTTGATGACCTAGCTGGCGTTGATGAGGTGCTGAGCTCATTTGTACTCTGAGGCCCTGTGAGAGTGGCAGGGAGAGAACGAAGAATTGCGTCCCGTGGCCCTTCTCTGCAGGGAGATGTTTGATGTGGAGACCTTTACCAGCCGCCTGCAAACCCTGGGTGTGCGCACTGCACTCGGCCCGCCCCCCTCCTCCAAAACTTCGGCCGGGCGGCTGGCCGACTTTGACAGTGTGCAGGCGCTTGGCAGTTTCTATGCCTCTAAGCAGCACCTCAGGTGGGGTCATTCCATGTGTGAGGTGTAGCATCCTCGTCCTTTGTGCATCTGCTGCTTTGGCGGTGTGCCCTGCAACCACTGCACCTGACTTTCATTGTTTCTGGATCCCATACAGGCTGGACTGCCCAGCATTCCGGGTGCCCGCTGACTTAATTGTCAAGCACGAGAGCCTGGTGTTTGCGGCCATGGACGCCATGCAGCCATCGCGGCCATTGCTGGATATCATCAGCAGGTGATTGCGCGCGTGTTCCAAGTGAGGTGGACAGGTAGCCTGATGGTTCATGTGAACGAAGTTTTTGCTGCTCCGCCTGTGTGCAGGGCTGAGGAGCAGCTTCGCAGCATGAGCAATACCGGGGCCTTCAACATTCTCCACCTAAGGGCCGAGGACGAGTGGCTCTTGCATTGCACCAACTGGGAGAGCATCGGCGACGGTATGTTTAAGCGGGGTTTTTTTGTACTCTGATCCATGCCGTACAAAGGGCTGGAAGGAGAGGCTTTGTGTGAAATGCTGCATGGTTGTGGGTCTTGCAGGGATTGTACGCAACAACTGCTTGAACAACACTGCAAGAGTCGGGAATCAGCTGCGGCTTCATCGCATCGACCGGCAGGTGGGCTGGTTGCACGGCATGTTGCTTGGAGCTCACCTGTATCTTCTCGGGCTTCATGACGACATGTTGTCATTCCTGTTCCTGCAGGTGCCACTCTTGCTATCCATCAACAAAATTGATATCAGCAACGATTTAGTTCGGCAATCAATGCAAAACCTTGAGGCTCACAGGTGGGCCAGGTGTATCAGTGGGCAGTTTCATTGAAAGGGTCTGCTCCAATCGCTGTATGTTCACAACCGTTTGTGTGATTAATGGCTGCAGCTACCAGGTGGTTCTGCGTGACGCAGTCTTTGAGCATGACCTTAAACTGCCTGGCCTCTCACGGGAGGAAATTGCACTGGTGAGATTTTGGGTCCGGGTTCTGCTGCTATTTCAAGGGTATGTTTCATTGACCTGCTGCCCTCCTGCTCTCAGGTTGATTACTACCTGGCGCTCGGCTGCCAGCAGTTTGTGGGCAACAGCGTATCTGTGTTCAGTGCGCTGCTCATTATGGAGCGTTGGCATGCGGGGCGGTTTGCCACTTATTACAATGGCGGCAACATCCCGCTGGAGGCCTTCATGCCGCTGTACCAGTGAGTCGTGCGAGCCCAATGCTCAGCAGGCATCGCAATGCTGAGCTCGTTTCGCCAGCCACATTGCTGCCTGACAAACTGCCGACGCTGGACTGTCCCACACCACACCACAGGATGCCCTGGGTGTTCACGTACAACGATTGGTCGGCGGGCACCGAGTATGATTATATGGTGAAGGCGGCTGTGACCTCTGGCATCGAGGTGGCCCGCATGAAGCCGTACTGCATGTACAGCGGCAGCACGTCTGCGGAGATGTACCAATGGTTCCTCAGCAAAGGAGTCACCATCATCCAGGTGACGGGCGTGCGGATGTGGGGGTCACGGTTATGCAGGGGCCAGCTTCATCACCAGCTCGTTGATCTGTTGTCGTGGAGCTGCCGCTGCAGCACGAGCCAGCGTGGCGGGATGCCCTGATCAAGGAGGGGGCACGCCACAAGGAGCAGAACCTGGTACACTCCCACCTCTACAAGACCGGGGGCACCCTGGTGGGCACCTTCCAGCGCATCGACATCCCCATCCTGCGCCAGTTTGACCAGTACAACTATGTGCTGTTCACAGGTGCGCAGCTTGTGGGGGCACGGGGGCATGGCGCAGCAGTTACCCTGTGCAGCTGCTCGTATGAACGCGGCATGCTCCTGTAGCAACGCTCTCTGCCTCACAGTGCTTCGTTCTGGCCTCTGCTGCAGACTGCGATGTTTACTTCCGCCAGCAGATGAAGCTGGTGGACTGGGGCACGCCGCTGCCCACGGCCGTGGGCATGGGGTGAGCCAGGCCCGCCTGCTGCCACCGCCATCAATTGCGGTCTGTCCACAGTACATGCTGACAGCCACAAGAGAGTACAGCTCGTAATCCAGAGCCTGGTATGGAGAACCACACCTCCAGCTGCTGCCATCCTGTTTGCAGCTTTGAGGGGCAGGACATTTTCCCCTACAATGCCGGCATCATGCTGATGAACATGCCGTACATGCGCAAGACCAACAAGAAGTTTCTGAACTGGATCGTCTCACAGAGGAATGGGCTGTACTACCCAGGCAAGTGTCAGAGACTGCACAGCGCTGTTACCCGCGAGCATGCCTTGCCCATCGAAAGCAACGGATGCGTTGCTGTGGGGCAATGACAGAGCCAGCCTCCCGAGGCTTGGTGTGTAATGCTTGCGGCGCCCACTGCTGTCACTGCAGGATATGGGCCGCTTGACCAAGGTGCTCTGAACCAGTTTTATGAGAAACAGGTCAAGGGCCTGCCGATCAGCAAGGTGCGTGCCCAATGCGCTGGAAGCGGCCTGCTGTGCGCCTTCACATCGCGTGCAGTTGCGTGCACAACCTGGCATGCACGCCTGACATGCAACTCAAGCGGCTGCGCGGCCTGCCGCAGAACTTCAACGCAATGATGTTCCACCAGTTCAGGCCTGATGCGCGCATCGTGCACATGAACGGGTGAGTATCTCTGTTTTGTTGCCCACATGGGAGTGCAGCTGGGAGACGCGCAATTAGCCTCAGCTGTGCAGCCCAGGCGGTCGGTGTCATGCGTTTCGTTTTTGTCCCTTCTGTCTGTCCTTGCCTCAGGCCCAAGCCCAACCACTACCTGGAGTGGCTGGAGAAGGGAGTCTGCGCATTTGGCGACATGTGCAAAATGGTGAGCGGGTGGTGGCGTTAGGTGGTGGGTTTGTTGTGTGTGCGAGTGTGTTGGTGGGGGGGGGTAACAAGATGCGAGTCCTGCGCCTGCTGCTTGCACCTGCAGGGCGTCAGCAATGGCGTGTGCCAGTACATCGCCGAGTACCTCCAGTTTACGCCGGACTGGGAAATTCCCGCCGAGCTGCACAAGCTGTGCAGCAGCGGCGCAGCAGCCAAGCAGGTGCCAGTGCAGCGAGCAGCAGCTGTCACGCAGCAGAAGGGCATACACGTGGCCAGGCTGCAGCAACCGACAACCCAGCTTGCAGTTGTGCGCCAAGAAGAGGAGGACGAGGATGCCGACTTGGAGGAGGTGGAGGAGGCGATGCAGGAGGATGAGGATGAGCAGGAAGTGGTGGTGAGGGCACAGGAGGCGGCAAAGCGGGTGGCAGCGAGGGGACGAGCAGCAAGAGGCGGGAGGAAGAGTCGGCCAGCCTTCTCGGACGAGTAGAGGCCGGGCAGCTGATTGCAGGAATGTGCTTTTTGCGGGCCTGACCTTGACAATGCTCCATCCGTGCTGTTTAATGCAAAGGCGTGCTGAAAGCCGAACAGGTCAGGCCTCACGGCAGTGCTGACCTCTACATTCAAGTACAACATCATCAATTCTTGCTCTTTGCAATGACAAAGACCACGCCCGCAAGGGTTCCCATCAGGATGCTGAGAAGGTTTGGCATCGTCCAAGGCACGTTGAACGCCAGCAGCCCGATGAGCGCGAGCGGCACCTTGTTCAAGCTGCCCACCAGGGAATAGATGCTGGGGGTGGTGGTGCTCAGGAACCAGAGCGACGTGAAGCTGCAAAAGGCACGGGGGCAGGAGCAGCGGAATCACAGCACGATGATGACAGGAGCAAGCGGATTCACAGACCAGCGATGACGACGGCAAGGTACCACACCCATCCACGCATGCGCACCTGATTGCAAAGCCTATCAACCCGCTGAAGCCCGCCACCAGCAAAAAGGTGGTGTTGTGCAGGTCGGGCTCCTGCCACACCCCGTGCAGCTCGCCCGTCAGCGCCATCAGCACCAGACAACAAGGCAGGCTCAGCAGGTTGTTGTAAAACACCTGCGCATGCAACAGGTGATGGTCACCAGTGGGATGCTGTTGGCAGCTGCAAAGAGGACTGGAGTGCACAAGCGCATCGACCGCCCAACCCACCATGGAGAACTCCCCAAGCCGCTTGCCGTCGCTGGTGTGCTGCGCCACGCGGTCCATGGCTGCCCGCATGTAGAGCGAGTACGCCGCCGTGAACAAACAGTTCATGATCTGCCAGAAGTAGCCGGCGGCATTGAAGGCGAGATCGGTGGCGGCGCCACAGATGGCCGACAGCAGCATGAGCGCCACGCAGCCCCACACATTGAGCTTGTACGTGCGGCCGTGGAGGATGTAGTCTCCGCCCAGGGTGAACAGGTTGGTCAAGTTTTTCAACACTGCATGCAGGAAGGGAAGGGTGGGTTGGGGTGCCGGCAGATGAGGGGAATCGCTCACAGGCAGGCTCACCTGTGACCATGCCCACGTTGAGGCTGCGCAGCGCCCAGAAGCTGGTGCCGATCATGCCCACGAACACCAGGTTGACCGGCAGCCACACCCGGACAATGTCGTAGCTAAAGGGCTCCACCTTGACCAGCCCCGCGGCCTTGCACGCCTGCACCGCCACCACGCACAGCAGGCACTGGAAGAAGAGCAGTGCATTGGCCGACTTGAAGTGGAACGAGGACAGGGCCACCTTGTTGAGCAGGACCTGCGCGCAGTGGGGTGGGGTGGGTGGGGTGGGTGGGCGGGCGGGTGTGGCGGAGGCGGCGGCACCGCCTGGCCCCGGCAGGGCAAAGCGGCCAGGGTGGACTTAACATCATCATGCTCGCCAGGCAGTAGCAGACGGCCGAGACAACGCTGACAGGCAGCCCAAGCAGGTAACGGGGCTTCTTGGTCTCGGCCAGCGACCCATCGGGGCTCAAGATCAGCCCCGAGGGCGACACCGTCAAAGCAATCTGGGATTTGTCGGTGGCAAGAGGGCCCGCCGTGGGCGACAGGGCCCGTCGCTCCATCGTGTCGTCTTGTTGGCCGGCTGCCGCGGTCATGCACGCGGAGGTGCGGAGGGCGATGCAGCGAACATGATGGGGAAAAGAAGAAGCATTGCAAGCATTGCAAGCAGTCGTGAACAAAATGTACTGCGACCATGTACGACTGAGACTGGTTGCATGGGTAACCAGAAATGAGAAATAGGCTTCACAAGGCTAAATGTCTCAATTGGGCATCATTTCTGTGCGCCTCGCTGTTCCTTCCTTCTTCATGACATACTAGGGTTGTGGAACCGAGCTTGCAGCCCCAAAATACGCCGCAGCCCCAAAATACGCGCTCAGACTGTGTTCCCCAAGCATCCCTGTGCACCTATGGCAGAGGCATGGCGGGCATGGTGGTGTGGAGGAAGGCTGCTTGCCATAGGTAGGCCGAGCGGGGAGGCTGGCTGCCTCCCTCTGACCGCGTTCCAGCCTTGAAAACGTGCTGAACTGGGACATGCGGGGTTCGGATTACTTCAGCACAAAGCTCTGGGCCGCCTTAGGGCCCTTGAGGACTCTACATGAACCCATACACATGCTGTGGGGCATGGCAGGAGCAGTGTGGGGGCGGGCAGGCAACCAGCAATGCCACATCGCCCCCCCGCGCCCCGCCACTGCATGCGCCCTCGTGGCGGCAGGGCTGTGCTCGTGCCGCCCTTCCCTCTGCAGGGCGTTGTGCATGCTTCTGGAGCAATGCGCTCACACACAAGGGCCAGCACTGCACGCGGCAGCAGCAGTGGTGCCCGCAGCACTCGTCGCACTGACGGCAGCGGTAGCAGGCAGCGCCGAATGCACAGCTGGTTCTCCTCACTTGCTGCCACAATGGTCGCAGCCCCTTTAGACCGCCATGCAGCTAGCGACGAGGACAGCGATCTGATGCTTCTGGGGCAGCTGCTGCCTGACAGTGAGGGGAACACTGAGCAAAACCGCTTGGCGTTGTACCAGTCGCAGGGTTGCGTTGGCGACAGAGTGAACGCCGTCTTAGAAGATGAACAGCGTGCGCTGCAGTATGCACAGTAACTCTCTAGCGAGCAGCTGCACAGGCTGCCGCATTGCCACAGACGTCGGCGGCAGCAGGCGGGGCAGCTGCAGTGGGGGCGGCGCAGCCGACGCTCAGTGACAAGGACACGGGCACCTTTCAGGTGCTGGAGTGCCAGCTGAGCAGCAGCCCTGCAGCTGTTGACATCAGCGGTAGACTGCTGCCAGACGCGTGGCTGCACCAAGACGTGTCTCAGCAAGAAGGGCCTCCGACACCACCAGCACGCGGTGAGCACTGATGCATTGGTGTCTCAGCCTGTTGCCATTGCCGCCTGCTCGGTGATGCACTTGGACTGGTAATGAAAGCCTGTGGCAGGATGAAAGTGGGTGCCCTGCTGTCTCTGCTGCTTGTGGTGCAGATGCATGGCGACTGTGAGGAGCAGGATGGGGCAGCACCACTGGTCAATGAGGCAGGCAGCAGGCAGCAGCCCAAGAAAGTGTCTAGTGGCGCATTGATGGCCCCTCCCGCACCAGCGCTAGCACGTGCAGCGGCGCTGGACAGCGGCAGCGAGCAGATGCCCTTGCTGGCAGCTGGGTGGGCACGCCAACCTCCCAAGCACCAGCACTGGTTTGCTGCTGAAGTGAAGGACTTCTTGATGGATCAGTTCCTCCAGAACCGCAGCAGCAGCACAAAGGCACGGGTCAATGAGCAACGGGCTGTCGAGGAATGTTGCGTGCGGTTTGCAGAGCAGCCAGAACTGGTGCCGCATGCGCAGCAAGTTAAAAGCCTTTTCAGCCGTTGGAACCGCTTGGAGAAAGAAGGCAAGCTGGTGGGGGATGCGAATGGGGCAGCGATGGCAAAAGAGGCAGCGGCAGTGCGCAGAGCAGCGGCACTGGCCAGCGGTGCACCTGGTGTAGACAGCGAGGTACAAGAAGAGTATGTCAGCGATGATGAAGAAGATGAATGGGAGGAGAGCGACGATGATGCAGTTGCGGCTGCGGCGGTGGCAGCCAGCCAGCGTTAGACGGGCGCGCCCGATGCCCGACTGCGGCAGCTAGCATGGTGGAGATGCAACGCTTTGTGGCTGCCAACCGGGTGTGACTTGTCCAACTGTTGTTTTTACACTATGAAAGAGAACATTTAGAGTTACAGGGCCAGATGCAAATGGGGCACCAGCAGAAGCGGCGGACGCGGACGCGCCCGCCGCCAGTGCGGCACGGACTGGGGTGCATGCACAGCTTTTTGGGTGGCGCTGATCGCGGCTTTCCCAGGTTATCGACCATAGGGCATCCATAGAAACAATCACAGGGAGAATGCGGCCGCAAACAGAGGCACGGGAGCCTATTTCTCTCATTTGGCAGGGGCTTGGTCGGTCCACCCATGCAACCAGTCGTACGTCCAAGAATGCCTGCGCGCCTGCGTCGAGGTAGACTTCAGAGGTACATGCGAACGGGTCCTCCTCGCCGCGCTGCATGCCGCCCTCGATCGTCATAAATTTTGCCTATGCGGTGCTTGGCATCCATGATGCAAGATTGATGATGGAGAACCCGCGATGGCACCATTAGGCGGTTCACAGGCGGGGTCGAGCGAGCGATGCCCGCTCGACTTCGTTGGCCATGAGACAGTTCGACCTGGAGAGCATCGCCCTGCCGCCCGCATGTACTGGCCCATGCCATTTCGTCTCTCTTGTTCGCAGCTGTGCTCAGCAGGCTGGCACGCGGCATTGCCGCCTCACCACGGCTGCGTCTGCGGCCCGCTTGGTCACTTACAACCTTGGCGGCGCAGCGTGCAGGCTGCTGAAATTGAATTCTTTATACATCTGCAGCATCACCGCCATTTCTTTCTCCTTGTGGTATCGCCCTGTCTCCTCCTTCCTCCTGCGGCATGTTGGGGCGGATGACATGAAAATTCGAATTGACAGCCCTTTGGCCTCCGGACAGTAGCACAGGTGGCTGTGTTCACACGGACTGTCAGCGCACCTGCAGCAGAAACTTGTTGTGATGTGCTCCATGCGCTTATCAAACTGGATAGCGTGAGTCGCATTGCTGAAACCTCCAAAAGCCCGCCGTGTGGTGCCCACCCCGGTGAAGCTGAGTCGCCACACACGATAGCTCGCATATTTGTCTCCCAGTAGCAGGAGCAGCTGCCCGTCCTTTAAGCCAGGCGGCACAAGTACAGTTTTACCACCACCTTCCGCCGCCTCTTCTTTTGTGCAGTCAGTGCAGCCCAGTTCCGCAGAGGGCCGGATCGTCAGCACCGAGTCCTGCGATTTGATAGGAACCGCAGAGTCGTGAGTGAGAAGCCAACCGTCGGTAAGCGTTTGGGCTACACTTTCTCCGTGCACCAGGGCTAGTAAGGCAACCACGGTGGCCAGCGTGCCTTGATCTCATCAGGAACCGCCTCGTGCTGCAGGAAAGAGGCCTCCCGCACATTGAGCGGCGGACCGTGAGCGTCCGGGAAGTCGACATAATGCCCTGGGTCAAAAAGGTAGTCCTGGGGGCTGGTTCATGCAGCATGGGGAAGAGGCTGGTGTGAAGTGGCTGGTGTAGATATTAGCCAGCAGCACCCTGAGAGGCCATGGCCAGCACCTGCACATCTGTGGCGGGGTCACAGGCGCAGTGCCCAAACTACTACTGCGCCCATGCGCTGCGGCTCACCACGGCACAGGGAGCGGCATGGTCTGGGCATCCACCACACGACAACGTACCACGCTGTACCAGATCTTTTCACAGTAACATTGAAACTGCAGGCAGATGAGGAGGGTGGTTGCGGAAGAGCGCCATAGCCAATTAGGTGACCCAAGCTCTAGAATGCAGGGGGCACGAGGCAGTTACCCAGCTGATGTGCTGCTTCCCCCAGCCAGCACTCGCTCGCCTGTGGCAGGATAAACGCTCGCTTTGCGACTGCCGCCAAAGCCATGCCCACGTATACCTGCTGCAGCTGTTTGTGGATGGAGTCCAGATGATATGAAACCATGTCCTCATTCTCGTTCCAGCTGTTGTAATCCAGCGGCGCCTGCAGCCAGTAATGAGCGTTACAGAAAAATGTCAATGCAGGAAAGAAAGAGCGCCAGAGGGGTGACCAATCGGCGCAGTCGAGTTGAACAGCCCGCTGAGACCACCAGCTTTACCTCTGGGTGATTAAGGTCCACCGTCACAAAGCTGCCATCGTTGTAATATTCGGGCGAGTCCACCATCCAAAGCCCCGCGTCGCGGAGGCGAGAGCGCTTGCCAGGGATGCCGTTGTAGGTCCATGTCATGTGCACCATGTAGGGCTCTACTTGCTTCACCTGGTCGGCAGAGGTGGCAGCACAAGGTTGGACGGGCTAGGCTGCAAGGGTTTTGACCTGGTACGACCAGTAACAAATACCATGGACACATTTCTGTACTCACCTTGTGCAGCCGCTGCAGGAAGTAAGAGTGGGCATTTGAGGCAATGCTGTAGCAGCGGCCATAAGCGACATGCATGGTATCAAACACCTGTGAAAAGCAGCGAAGCCGCGCAACTATACTTGCTAGCGATTGGGGAGCGTCACCTGGGCGGGATGATGCCCATCCAGACAGAGTTGTTGAAAGCACCTTTCAAGCGCTCGGCGGTGGGGTGGGGCTGGACAATGGGCGTGCGCATTAGCTTGTAGGCGCACTCCTGAAGCACAAGGCACCAGGCACAGTGGGGAGGGGGGGGGGGGGGGGGCCCGGG